ACATTTCTACAATTGAAGATGGAACTCCTGCCACCTCCTTCAAAGATCCTTGTTGAGGGAGTAAATGAATCTCAGTGCTGGCAATAGCTACTAAATTTAAAAATGATCCAGGGTCAGCTAGTTGTATTGTGGTTAAGGCTTCTAAGTCTGACATGACTGACTGAATGGTTCATGTCCCAAACTTGATGACTCGAAAAACACTTTAGATGTGTGTATGTGCATTTCCATAATTCCAACAGGCATGACCAATGGAGGAGAAGGGATTGCAGCATGACCCTGCCCCATGGTGGGTCATTTCTTGTTCCCTGTCTTTTTCACTCTTTCTCTGGCGAGCATTCATACCTTGGATCAAAACATTTTAAAATAATGGAAGAAGAATTGAAATAGATCCAAACTGCTCCAGAACTAGGATGTCAGCTCTTGCCACCATATTTCAGCTGGAATAGCATCAAGCTTGGTGTCCATCTACTGACTCTATTGACAGTGATGGCAGAAAAGGGTGATGGCCTAAAAAGTTTCTATTTGCTATTATTCGAAGGACTTTCAACATGGCTTTGATTCAAAAGATTCTCAATGTTGGGACCAGCAGTTAGCATAATGACTATGTCACTGGACTCCCATGTAGTCAACTGGTTTGAGTCCCAGACCCGATGGCTTAAACTCATGCTGGGTGTGTGTGCATGAGTGCCCAAGATCGCAAGAGGAGAATGGAGGAGAAGGGATTGTGGCATGGGCATCCCCCAGGGGGGTGATTTCTTGCTTTCTGTCCCTCTGTCTCTCTCTGTCTTTCTGGTGAGTGCATGCACCCTATAGCAAAAACCTCACCAAACAAAAGAGATTCTCAATATTATGACTTTATTTTCTATGGATTGTATGTAAAATAAAAAAAAAAATCTCTAGAAAGCAGGGACAAAAACACTGTAGAGGGATGTCGATGTATTTGTTTCTGTCCACCCAGACAATCCTTCAGCCAATATTTTCTGAACTGGCTCCTAGCATGTGGGTGTTGGTGACATGCTAAGGACACAGAGGGGTGTAGGCACCATTTCTATCCTAAAATAGCTTATAGTTTCATGCACAAACAAAGACAGTGAGGACATAAAAAACCCTGCCTTGGGCTTGGGAAGAAATAACACAGAACCTGAGGTTTGAGGGATAATAAAGAAGACTATTGCTATTGAACAGGGACCAGTAGGTCTGAAGTTCCTTACCTCCCCTGTCCTGTGCACATTCTCTAAATAAATAAACAATAAAAGACTGTATGACACGTAGCACA